GATATAACCCGATAGGCATCTTTTATATTATATCTCTTTTCTATTGTCCAAAATCAAGCCAGACAGACAGGTTCGAGATTTTAGGAAATTTCTTTCATTTCAAATATTTGAAGGAATGAGTCAGAATTTTGTCCATGGGGGTATTTTGCTTGTTCTTTATTTTTGCGTAATCCTTGAAAAAGGAACATTGGTATTGTGTCTGTTTTTCTTTCTGTCCTTCCTACTACCAGGTACGATCCACATCATCGGAAGAACACGCACGAAAACTTTCCATGGAGAAAGTCGTCTTTGGAATATCGTATCGATTAAGTATACACATGGAATGCATTTCAAAGAGGAATTTAATTTACAGTTTGTCTTAATAATATGTATCTCAGTACTCTGTCGTGCTTCGCAAGGTAAAGGATTAAATGAACGTCATTTGATTTGCTAGATATATGTCTATCATTATGACACTGGACTATAAACTCAAAAATTGACAATATTATTGAATAAATTTGTATAAATTTTTGACTATGGTCAGTATCATACTGAACGGCGGTTTTATTTCGGTTGAGAGTTCATCCTTCTTTACCAATAGGTTCTCAGCGAAGGTGGCTGTAACTGTAACTGTAACTGTAACTGTAGCAACAGTAGCAGCAGCAGCAGCAGCAGCAGCGGCAGTAGCAGCAACAAGTTCGTACGACCTTCACTATAAATACCTAATTTCGCCTTCGAGCTATTTGCGACGGCTAATGCCGCGATATTTATACGATGGCTAAGTGTAGGTACCAGGGCGTAGATTTATGCGATGGCCAACGCGATGGCTGTATATTTTCATTGCATCGGTTCACTTTATTTAAAACGCATCTTCTCCCCGATGCCGTAACGCGTCGTCTTATCACATCGCATCAATCTTTTTTCCTTTTTTTTTTTTTTTTTTAAATCGCTATTTACATTTATATTTTTGTAATATTTAAAAACATAATGGTTAGAAATATGTATTAGAAAATTAGTCAACTGAACAACCTGGTGCCCGCTTATAATCGTATTTATTCGCGCGCACAAGAGTTTCAAGCAAATACAAGAGAATGAAATAAGGATAAAGTAAGAAAGAAGAAGAAAAAAAAAAGGGGGAATATAAAAAGGCAGGAACCTAGGTCGGATTAAAGTTCTCTTTTCTTTCGTCGGAAGGCTTCGGTCGAAGGTACCGATTGACCTCCATATTCCCGACTAGCTAAACCTGGAGCCATCCTGAGCCGCTTAAGTAGCTATGGGATTTGCTTTCCTCCTCCTTCACAACGACGACGACGACGACGACGACAAAGACAACGGTCCCCATTCTTTTTTTTCTTTCACGTTCCTCTCCAAGGCGCCACCCGCCCTATTTTTTTTTTTTTTTTTTTTATTTGTTTACTTCACAATTGAAACAAATTCTGTTTGTGTGTGCACGTAAATATCCAATAACCGTTCGAGTTTTCAAAGTTTTTGTTAAGTTCATATTTTGACACGTGAGCAGAAGACTGGCATGCAACGCAAGCATGTTGTATCGCCTAATATATTTTTCAAAGCGATAAAGACTCTCGTTTGGCATAGGTTTGGAATCACCAGACGAGGGCTCGTAAAGCAAATACATGACGAGACGAGAACTTATCTTCGTTTTAAATCTCTTCTCATTGTCAGATTTTTGTTGGAATGTGAAATTTCACAATGTCAAGGAAAAGTTTTCAAATTGAAAAGGGGAAAATTGATAGAGATGCGTCGCGTAGCTCGATTAAAATAGATAATTGAATCGATCGATCGATCGATCGATAAATGATCAATTTTGACAGGGTCACATGATCCGACAACCAACTTAATTAACGTCAATATACAAAATGAAAATGTCGTCTGTTTCTCTTGAAACATTGAGGAAAGCAGAGTAGGGTATGTCTTATGGCAGAGACTAGACGACTTAACGAGTAAATAAAAGGCGTCACTTTATGTCCGAATGAAAATTAAATGACGCGGCCAGTCGCGAAAATGAATTATCGCTGTTGAACGTTTGCTCCTTTCACCATCCCGCTACCCTATGAAAATATTAACTCGTGTAAAGTGCCGCGTTAAGAAATTCATGACGAGTTCTCGACTGGTAGACGAAAAAATTTGTCCAAATGGAAATTCTTTTTTTCCCCCTCTTCCTGTTATTGTTGTTGTTGTTGTGTCGTTATTTTCTTAAGAACACCTTATCCACCTAACTGAGAATTTATTGTCATTATATTTTGATTAGATTTTCATTGAAAAAATATCAATTATTTTTAATCTCGAATGTCGGCAAAGAAGTCTTTAATATTCAACGTTCGGTGTGTTAGTTGACAAATCCTTAAAATTCAGTATTCAACGTGTTCGTTTTAAAAATCTTAACTATTCTGCACGTTCGACGTGTCAATTTACAAATATTACAAAATCAACATTTCAAGTATTCGTTTATTTAAAGAAAAAATATTGCATATGGAAAGAAAAAAAAAAATCAGTTAACGTTGAATAAACTCTGACGAAAGATGGTCATAGATGAAGGATCGATTGAAAAGCGAAGAACCGTGCGATAATCGAAGGAAATGCAACAAGGATGCAAGGAATTGAAGCGTAAATTTGGTCGAAAAAGCAGGAAAAAGAGCAACCACACGCTCGAAGGCGGCCTACCGCGACTTTTTAGCGAATAAGGAATAAATAGAAAGAAAAAGGGCAACAGAGCAAAAGAAAACCTTTGAGGTTCACCAATAGTGCGTTAACTAAGCCGCCTTACTCGATCGAATCGTTTGACATAAAGAGAGGAGAGCCGACGTTAGTTTAAAAAARARARARARAAGAAAAAAAAGTAAATGAAAAAAACTGCAAATACCGTGGGGTGCGAGTTTTAGGTGAAAATGAAATTTTTTTTTCTCCACCGATGAAAATTCACGACCGCGCTTTTTTTTTTCTTTTTTTTTTTTTTTTAATCAAATTTTTCCAAAATATATTTTATTTATCTTTTAACCCTTCGTAACGAAATTTGGTCTCGCGAATTTAAAAAGAAAACGTAGTGAAATAGATATTTTCTGTATAAAAAATAAAATTGCATCGATAGGATTTAGCGTTAATCCACCTAAGTCGTGTTATTTAATATTTAGGACGACAATTCTGTTAGTGTTTCCATTGCGAAGAAATGACGAATCGATTGGGAAAGCATTTTACGCCCTTCTCTTTCCGCGAAATCGACGTTAAAAAGGGTCCGTTTCTTTTCTCAACAGTGTCGAAAGAAGAGAAGAGGAGGACATATTGTATCGTATATTTATAAGCGTGCGCACGCAGCACCTACACACAATAAGGCTATGTAGGGTGTTGCTAGAGCAGCAAGTTGATGGAGTACGAGTTGGACGAGGATGAAAAGAGGTGGTGTAGGAGGAGGAGGAGGAGGAGGAGGAAAAGATGGCGATGCGGCAACAAGAGAAGGAAAGGACGAAGAGAGGAGGAAGAGGAAGAGGAAGAGGTGGAGGAGGTGGAGGAGGTGGAGGAGGAGGCCTCTTAAGCGGCTCAGCGCGTACAAGCGTATACGAGCGGAAAGCCGACAAAGCTATCAGCGCCGAATGCATCCCGGGCAGATGCTGCTCTCTTTGGTGTAGAGCCTCCTCGTTTTCTCTCTTTTGCTCTCTCTCTCTTCCTCTCGRTTCTCGAGTGTCGAAGCCATGTGAGCCCTACTCGAGTTGCCGTAATAATTCATTGTGGCCCGGTGCGAAGAACATAACAGAGAGACTCCGAAAGCATTCCTCCAGTGAACCATCGTCACACTGTAAGACCAAATTATGCTATTATTTCAATATTCGATATATGAAATATCTAACAGTAAGTATTTTCATGGATTTGCGCGGGAATTGAAAAAGAAAAAAAAGTATGCATCTGTAATAGGAGCATTGAAATCGTAGGACCTGTTCCAAAATCGATCGACGGCCGACGTCTACTCCGAGAGGGATGCACGGTAACCACCGCACTACCACCACCACCACCAACGTTGCCAGCGTACCAGACACACTACCACCACTAGGGCCGCCAAATCTCCGCGAACAAATCAACGGAGTTTGGACCACCGCGCTCTCGAGAACCAACGGAAGAAAGGTAGAAAGAGAAAGGAGTTGAAGGGGGGGACGAAAGAGGAGCGTGGTGACACGTTATATACCGACCGTTTGGTTACCGCTTTGGTCGACGACGCGGAAGAAGAGTGCAGCAAAGGAAAGAGTAAAGAAGAAGAAGAAGAAGAAGAAGAAGAAGAAGAAGAAAGTATCGAGAGTAGGTGGTTGTTCCTATAGGAAGGTGCAACGACTGGTAGTAGTAGTAGTAGTAGTAGTAGAGTAGTAGTAGTTTAGTAGTCAAAGAAAGAAAGAGAGAGTAAGAGGAAAGAAAGAAAGGATTGTAGGGAGAGAGAAAGCCGCGGAACGACGAATCGATTAGGTAGGTCGGCCATTTTGTATGCAGGAATCGGCATAGTCGGAGCTAGGAGGAGCACGGTAGGCGTGGTCCAGCATCGGCGTCGACTCCGCGCCGAGAACAAATCGGTCCTCGTGTAGAGTAGCGCGCGCACGCACGCATACCACCGTTTCCTCGCGATAGGACGGAAGCTCGTTCGTAGCGTACCAGTGGGCGTTCCCAAGGATCCCGACCGGCCGAAGAGCATCCTTGGTGGGGGGAGGAGTCCGCTCCTAGCAGTGGGGATGGATGCTTAGAAGTGGAAGGGTGAGACTAGGTCTGCCGGCGGCGACTCGTTTCTACTATAGCGACCGAGCCGAACAGCAGTCAGTGCCTCTCAGGGCCCCGCGTCGTCAGTCTCGTTGGGGTTGTATCGTGAGATCGCGTCTTTCTCTCTCTTTCTCTCTTTCTCTCTCTCTTCCCTTTCTTCCTCTTTTCACCCGTCTATCAATCCCATTCTCCTTCTTCTTCTTCTTCTCCTTCTTCTTTTTCTTCTACTACTACTCCTTCTCCTCCTCTTCTGTCTTCCTCCATCTCCTCCCCTCCCCTTCCTCCTCTCGCCCTCTTGACTCGTAGCTCTTTTTTACTCTTTTTCCCACGTATTTTATTTGTCTGTTTTTTGAGTGGTGCGACTCCACGCATCGATCAGCATCATCATTGTGTATAGGAGAGAGAAGAAGATTCCTCCTCCGTCGGCCGTGTCCTCGTTGCAATTTGTACGGAACGCGAGTGATAAGACGATAAGAAGAAAATAATAAAACGTGAACGAAAGACGGATCCTTGTTTGAATGTGTCGTGATGATAGTTTATTTTTTTCTCGGCACGGTAGATGTACTTGCAATTAAGTACATAATTAATACTTGTGATAGCATCGTAGAAAGGAAAGGATAACTGTGCATTCAAATTGAAATTAATTCCAAGGGACTAAGTGACAACTCGTGACGAAGGAACGTTAAACGATATTTTTTGTTATTCTTGTGTCAGATCATTCGCGATAAAGGAAAGGGTACGTTAAGGGTTTACTCGTCAGCATCGTTCGATCGCAAAATGGCGATGGTCGTCGACAATATTTTCCCTCGAATTGTTTGTTAATGATTTCGCGATAACATCAATATCCTCGAAAATTAATTTGTAACAATTAGTCAGAGGCAGGGGGTCGACTAAACGATAGAAAGAAGGAACGAAACGTTGAACTGCAAGCTGCATCATTGACATTTTGAGATTGATTTGAAACATAAATACGAGAGAACTATTGGAAATAAGTTTGGGGATAAGTTTAAGAGGGAAAAGGAGACAAGTAATAAGAAGAAGAAGAAGAAAACGAGGACGAAGAGGAAAAAGAAAAAGAAGAAAAGGTGCTTTAAAAAGCCTTCAAGATTGCTCGAAAACCGTCGCGCGAGTCGCGCAGGGTTGGACGAGCAGCGGAAATACGGGGTGCGTGGGCAGCTATGCAAAGGGCGGTTGCTGGCGGAGGGCCCGGGCCCTTAGGCCTTCAGGGCCCTCCAAGGTCAGTCAAAATATCCCCAGTTAACATTCAGGACGAACCCGGTGATCCGACCTCGCAAAGTACGTACAAATCTTCATATATCATACTATATAAATTGATTTATTTCGTTGTAAAATACAAGTTCTAAAGATTGCATTATTTTTTCAAAGAATATTTAGTTTCGATGATGGATGTTAATGAAATTTCAATTGATCTGGGGAAAGATTATTAAGAAGAAATGTGTCTGATTAAAGATGCATCGAACAAGGTTGATTTATTTTTTATTCTTTGATAGATCTTTCATTCGTTGGATACTTATAGAAATAACGTTGTTACAATCGTAGCTCGAATATAGGATTCCCGAAATATTCATAACTCGTTCGGATCTCGCTCGAATCTCGCCCGAATCTCGCACATTTCGTGACATTAATCCCTGACAATTCTGTCAATAACATCGTTTTCACATTTTAAATAAAGAATATCTTCCATTTAGAATCATATAACACGGTCCATAATATTTCTCCGTTTCCATTTTCGTCCACAGAATCGTTTGATTTAGCCTACTCAATGACATTTATTTTAATCGAATAAAGAAACTGTTAATAACCGTACTCGATAGTAATCGATTTGATAATACATAAAAAAATCGTAGATATGAATGAAGAAGATTTTCATTAAACGAATAAAATACGAACACGTGTTCTATTTCTACCAATGGGATAATAATTATTCATTTATGATCGATCCTTCGAGCGATTAAGACGTCATTTCCGACTATTAAATTGAGATCTTTTTTAAAAGGTAACAAAAATCGGTTTACCAATGGGAAAACTTCATTGAGTATTTAAAGACACACTTTGATGAGAGTCTAACCGAACTATTTGTAATATTATCCTTTTCATAGAGCTTTAATTAGGCGATTAAAGGTTTTTTAATTGAAGAAAATATATAAAAGAAATGAAGAAAGAGAGGAAGATCTCATAAGAGTTTAGCGAACAATCTTTATGACCAATTACAATCGTTTCTTCTCTTGTAAATGAGCTATTTTACTTATTTTTCAAAAGTATATTCGTTGCTCGATGCGAAAAGATCAAAAATTAGCCGGTGGACAAATACAAACGAAGAAGAACAAGTTTTTTATATTTCCTCATGTTTTCTATAAATTATTCAAATGAGAGATAATGAAGATGATAATAAAACAAAAACAAAAAAAAATAGAAAAGAAAATAACAGAGCAAGTGTTTGGTCGTTCGTGACGCGACGTTTTGTCTACAACTCATAAGTTTTGTGATAAGGTCTTATCTAACGTCAACGTTTCTAGACAAACCTATCGTGAGATCTATATTATATACTCTTTCTACAATAATATCCGTTAATTATTATTTAGCAATGAAACTTCAACGATAATTACAAGAATGCAACGAACCTAACTTAAAAACGAGGTCGCATCAATCTAAGTGTCCTTACTTTTTTACTTATTATCTTCTACATTTTTTTTCTCTTCGTTTTTGTTTCAAATTAAAATGCAATAAATTATATTTATTCGAGTTTAAAAATCATGTACTCTAATGAATGAATATTCTTACAAAAATGTTATTTCTTAGCTCGCGAGCAAATGCAATTTGTCATTCGTCATTAAAATATAACGATTACGTTGGAATTGGTGTAATTTGGTTCGCGTTTAAAATCCAATACTCGATTTGAATCTCTACTGTATCATCCCACCAAAGAATTATCGTAAAGACGATACATAATCGAGCTTGCTAATTAATTTCTCTAACGCTCTTATAAAGTTTCATAAACGCATAGAATCGTTATAATCGTACCTCGTTAAAGTCTCGACTATCGTTTTCTTCATTCGATAATGTTAATGCGTGTTTTCAAACGATTTCAAAGTGTGAACATTTCATAATAAATGGCAAGAGAGAGAGAGAGAGAAAGGAGGTAAGTTGAAATCAAGCGGTCAAACTCGATCAGGAGATTGGACATTCTTTGTTGGTCCATAATGTGCCCTCGACTTATTGTTGGATATAAAAGATCTCTACAACTATTTCTAGTCCAGAGTGAAGAAAACAGTAATAGTTATAGCTCAAAGCTGGTTGGTAGCTCCAGTTAATTCATTTCATTTGTAACTCGATTTACAATTAAAAATCGTGACAGATAAATGCATACAACGGCTCGTTGTTGTCAATCATTTTCACAATTTCAAAAATAAACTCGTGATCTTAGAATCTACTAAAGAAAATAATTGAAATAAAAAGAGAAAGATACAAATTTGATTAGGTCAAATTTGTGATAATCTATGTAATTAACAAACGAATACAGACGTATAGAAAACTCGACAATTATTTCAATCCGCGACTGCGACGACTAAATGACGAGATTTTGATCTCTTTAAATCCCACTTCAAATATACGTTCGTAATTATAATCCAGAGTAATCCAAAAACCATTGGTGCATTTGTCGAGCACACTATATATATATATATATATACGTATTATCAATTTACTTTCTCTTCTTTCATTTTCATTCTTTTTTACTTTGCAATTTTTTATATAATAAAAAAAAAAAGTATAAAATAAAAAATACTTTACTTGTATATTTTTATGCAATTGTTTTTTCGATCGATCAACGAACGATTCGATTTTTATTCTAATAATTTTCACTCTTCTTTGTTTCTCGTTTCATTCGTGAGACTATGAGACAGGACATCATCGAACCAAACGATAAAGAAAGACAAACGCATATATATACCAAGTTGAAATTCAACGTCGACGAATTTTGTGATTCTTTGAAAGGGTTTTCTTTTTTTTTTTTTTTCCAAAAAAGGAATAACCAGTCATGCCGCTTTAAATCGTCGACGGTAGCAAACGACCGCGGCAGAAGTGTAGAAAAGAATTAAATTTATTTTTATTTTTTATTTTTCGTCTACCATTTCTCTCACTCATTTTAGCAAACAAAAGTGTGGGAGAGAATTGAATTTTTTTTTTTCTATGTTTTTTTATTTATTTATTTATTTATTTTTATTTACGCTCTCCGCTTTTTGCAATTCATATCTCCGTCTCTATTTGATCGACTATGTTTCTTTTCTCTTTGTTGTTAGTACCGATCCTACTACGGTAGGGAAGCAGCAAAATGTGCGTTGCGTCGGTTTTAATTAACGGCTCATACATTTGCATGATTAGACCCTGAAAGAGAGTTACGCGGTATCAGCATTCCGTGCATCGAAAACTACCACGACATTAATGGTGGGATTCCTCTGTCCGCCGTTCACCGACGCATATAACTCTCACTGACGTCGACTTAAACATTTAAATATCTTCTTCCTTTTTTATTTTTACTTTTATTTTTATTTTCTAGCTTTTTTCTTCTTCTTCTTCTTCTTCTTTCCTATCCTCTTTCACTTTATTTATTTTTCTCTTCACTCTCCTTTTCGCTATAAGTATCGTAACGCGTGTCTCTCTTGCTATATAATTCGAGATTTTTTTCTTTCCCTCTCTCTCTCACTTTCTTTCTGCGGTTCAGTTCTTTTTGTGTCTCCTTTTCACCCACATCGATATCTTGGTCGTGACACGCGAGCTTGGCTTCGTAGCAACAAAGTCCACATCGTAAATTAATAGATCGAATTTCGATTAGGAGTGAGACGTTTCGAATGATATTACACGCTCCTAGATTCGCGTTCTTTTTGTTTTTGTTTTTTTTTCTTTTCTTTTTATTTCACATTTTTCTTCGATGAATTTAAACTTTTATTTTTATTTTTTTCTTTTCTATGACAAAGTATCAAATTTAAGAGTACGATAATAATACTTTGTTGATTGGCAAGTTGTAAAGTTGAGTACGATTATTATATATATATATTTATATGGGTATATTTTGTAAGAGCGTGTATAGGAAACGAAGCAACCCTCTCGAGTCCTCGACACGTAAGAGAACCCAATTATAACTTGTGCGTCAAGAGATAATTTCCATCTCGTTTCATTTCGTTGAAAATAAGCCGTCGGCCTAAGGATCTCCCGTTCTAAACACATAAGATTCAATTCCTAATTCTACTTGCTCGAAATAAAAAACTGATTCATATTTTTTTTTTTTTTCTTGAATTTTTCTACGAATTTGTAAATAATCGCACGTATTTTAATTTAATTGAAAAAAGAAGATAGAAAAATGATTGAAACATTTTTAACCGAATACATTATCCGATAATAAATCAAATAAATCCGTAGATTTAAAAATAATCGCGCGTATTTTAATTAAATTTTCCAAAAATAATAAACCCACGCGTACATTCGACATCAAATTATTATCCTGTACTCTCTTCAGTAAAAATCTCTTCAATAAAAAGAACAATATTCATGAATGTTAACTTACATAAATAGAAGAAAAAAAAAAACAGAAACAGAAAAAAAGAAAAAACAACTAAGAAAGTAAAATACACACACGTACATATAGATAGAGGCCGATTTTGGGTAGAAATCATCAGCCGATTAGAGTGCAGATGTTCTCGTACGAGGATTATGAGCCGTTTCCACCCTCAAGTAGTAGATCCTTTGAGAAGGGGTGGTTGTACGAAGGTAGGGGTGGCAGTAGACGACAACAGCGACGACGACAACGACGACGGCAACGACGAAGTAGTCGATGACGATGGCAGTGGTATGGCAGTGGGATGGCAGTGGGATGACAGTGGGGTAAGGTCGGTTAAAACGTCGTGGGGTGAGCTTGATTGAATTATCATGAGTGTTTGCGGAGCGGCGGCTTGCAATTGAATTAGGCCTGGGGCCTTTTCTATCGGCGTACGTAGACATCCATCTATCAGGATCTCTTCCCTTCCTTTCCCTTCCCTTTCTTTTGGAAAAAGTCGGTAGTCGAGACTATTGTACCTACTCTTGTCCAGACGATTTTATCGACGTCCTACTTTTACTATTTTTTCTTTTTTTTTTTTTTTTCTACCAAAATAGTTTAGGATTTTGAAAATGTTTCCGAGAAAAGGTCGGTCCAAAATTTACGAGGGTACGTATTTTCGCTTCCGGGAAAATTCTTTCCTATGAGTTACGAATATTGTTTTGTTTAATTATCGACAAACACA